GACAGTTCTAACTCAGTCAGAAACCTTCACAGAGAGTCCCAGTGAGCGGGGGAATTGCCTGGAAGTTTCAAGTTCCAAGTTCCAATGGCCAATTCCCCTGCTCACTGGGACTCTCTGTGAAGGTTTCTGACTGAGTTAGAACTGTCCAAAGTCTCCGACCCTGTTAAAGGCTAGTCTGTTTAAACTGGGAAAATCTCGACTTCTAAAAAAGTTACAACGATAAATCTAAAGCTTCTTTGCCGTGATGTAAAGACACAAGCTATGATTTCACGGTAAGCGGGAGTTCTGTCTGTGTGAACTTGTCATAGGCTCTATTTAGCTTTGCTGTCGGAAGAGATGATCTTCTCCTAGCAGAAGGTAACACTGCAATCACTTAATTTACTTTGTCGTGGTTCACAATTTCGATAAGTTTGAATTTGGTCTCTGAAATATCTTTGTCAAAATTGATGTTAGGTCTCCTGCAAAGTTCTTTTTTTTTGTGCACAGTCAACAAAATTAACATCATATTTTATGAATGTTCAAATTAGGGGCATAAGCATGTGCATTTGGCCCCTTGAATCCACTCTATTATTCAGCAAGGTTATGGGCGATTTGTTAGCATTCTGAATTCCATGTATTCGTCTATCCCTGCCTAATAAGCTTTGATTCCCATGCCCACTAAGATTCTGTCTACCTTCACCTTAAAAAAAAAAAAAAAATTCAGTGATCCACCTTCACTGCCTTCTGAGGCAGTGCCAAATATCATTTGAGTGTAATCCAAGAAATTTCCAAATTTACATAAGACTGCTTTCATAACATTGTTAGTTGAAAGATCCATCTGTCACGTGGTAGTAGGCATTACCACAGTTACATTGCATTCAGATTTAAGCATTAGGAAGATTTGAATGATGTGTATATGTAAAAATATATATGCTGTAAATATGATGTTGAAATTGACTGTATAGTAAAAGGATCATTAACTTAAGATTGCCGTGTCTTGATATGATGAAAACCGGAGTTGATTTTTAACTGTAATCATTGAAGTTGAGACAAGCCCAGGAAGACTGATAATGGTTGGTGCTTTTTCACGTCAAGAAAGTTGAAAGATAATTGTGTTCTTTGTGCATGGCAAAGCAGAAGTGCCTTTTTTTTTTTTAATTCTTATGGGCATCACTGGCTGGCCACCATTTATTGCCTGTCCTTAGTTATCCTTGAAAGTTGATGGTGAGCTGCCTTCTTGACCTGCTACGGTCCGTAGCTCTCTTTAGGGAGAGAATTCCAGGATTTTGACCCAACGACAGTGATGGATCAGCAATGTATTTCCAAGTTGGGATGGTGAGAGGCTTGGAGGGGACCCTGTAGTTGTTGGTATTCCCATGTATCTGCCCTTGTATTTCGAGGTAGAAGTGGTCGTGGATTTGGAAGGTGTTGTCTGAGGATCTTTGGTGAATTTCTGCAGTGTATCTTGTAGATAGTCTGCCTTCTATCAACGTGAAATATTGACTCTACCTTCTCCCTGACTTCCGGTCAGACTTAACTAAGTGTTGCAGGTATTTTCTGTTTTATTATTTGTGATAAATTGCAGTAGTGCATTCATATCTGCTTAGAGTTTGTTTTAATCCAGGAAAAGAATGCAGAGTTAGAGTTCAATTCAACTCATTGCTTGCATTCACCAGTGTCTTTGAGAGATAAACTGAATTATGAAGCTATGCTGTTGATATTCCATGTAGACTCTTGTCTCTTGATGGGGAATGTTGAGTTGCAGCTGTAGCAGCTCTTGGATTCCTGAAATCAATATTGAGGTTGACAATATGTGCTGACAGCTCTTGTCTGTTGCTTCCAGCTATGATCTTATAAAGGACTTGACAGCCTTTCATTTCTGCATGTTTGTAGAGGCCAGATTATGGCATAAACAGAACAACTGTCAATCAATTCTATTTTGTTGTACTGAGTCCAAAAGGAATTACAGATTGGCAAACAAATTTATAATATTTAATTACTGAGCTACGAGGTTGACAAAGCTGTCAGGGCTGACCAGTAGGGCAGCAAGATCAACAGTATGCTGATACTAAATATAAAAAAAACCTCCTAAATATTTAGGAATGCTAAAATTATGTCCTCACCATATGTTCAATCTCATAGCTCAGTCTGATTTCATTCAAAAAAATCTCCCGCTTGAATGAGGGAAGTAAACTAAAAATTAGTACATGTTCAATCTGGTTAAGGTGATTAACATGTTTGTATTTCCTCGTCCTGGCATTATAGAAACTATCCTATATCTGCCATATTAAGAACTTAATGTTATTGTACTTGCAAATAAAACATCATGGCTTTTGGGAGTTGGATAATGGAATACTCTGTGGACCTCTGAGGTCAGTGTGCAGTAGCACATTTATAGAACCAGATGTCAGTGCGTCTGTATGCCAGTTATCATGCATGAGCCATCCTAGCGACCGTGCCGCTTAAGGGGACTATTGTTCACAATATACTTTCCTATCTGTCTTTACTGTGTCAGCAAATTTAGTGACCATACCCCCTCAACTCTCATCTAATCAGACAAAGACCCACTTGTTCACAGACCGTTTTTTACCATCCAACCAATCTTCTATTCAGGCTAAGTTGTGTTACTTTTGAGAATCCCTTTCATGTGATGCTTCATTAGTTGCCTTCTGGAAAGTACAGTACGTCAACTTTGATGCAAGATACTCCTCAAAAGAAGTCTAATAAATTGATTAAACGTTTCTCTTTCACCAAACCATGCTGGCTGTTCCCAGTTATCCTGAGTTTTCCAGTTGTAACTTTAAGGACTGATACTAACAGTTCGCTGAGAATCATAGAATCCCTACAGAGGCCATTTGGCCCATCAGGTCTTCACTGACCCTCCGAAGACCATCCGAAACAGATCACCCCACCAAACCCCAGATGGCTACCCTACCTAATCCGCACCTCCATGCACACTATTGGGTAATTTTTAGCATGGCCAATCCACCTAACCTGCACATCTTTGGACGGTGGGAGGAAACTAGAGCACCCGGAGGAAACCCATGCAGACATGGGGAAAACGTGCAAAATTCCGTACAAGGTTTGAATTGAACCTGGGTCCCTGGTGCTGAGAAGCAGCAGTGCTAACCACTGTGCTACCATGCTGCTGCTGAGTTTCGTTTTCTGCCTTCTTCTTTATGAATAATGGGATTATATTTGCTACTTTCCAGTCAGGTAGAACTGCTGCTTTGAAACTTAGTACCTAGTATTCATGATGAAGTTCTTGTGGTTTCCATACTTGGTGAATTCAACGATGTTACTAATTTGTTTAAAAATGCTGTTTTAAGTGTGCAAAACAAATGCTTACATGTTCATAATGTGCTATTTGTTTTCTTTATCCAGGTTGAATGTAATTTTTGCAAAATTTGATGAGGTTCAGAAATCTGGAAATATGATTCTGTCTTCAGCAGCAGGTGAGTTAACTGGGCTGTTATTTTAATGCTGTCTTGGAAATTGGGGACATTAAAGACCAGGATGAGCTTCCAGATGACACTTGATTACACTTTTCTTTTGTAATCATCTGACATTTCATTACTGGTGGAAGCAATTTCTGAATTCAAACTTGCAGGCTTATTTGATTGGATGGCTTATGGCTGAATCTAATTTTGTATTTTTGGGCAATTTTTTAAAAATTGAGGCAGTGTGGAAAGAAAAATATCCCTAACACATGACAAATATTTATTACTTTTTGATTTTAAAAAGGCTGTCATTTCTCTCAATGTGATGCTGTTAGATCTTTGAATAGTATCACTGGTATTTTGTTAAAGTTGTTCATGGACTACATGTATTAAATGCTTGAGTTCATGCCCTACTGTTGTCCTATTACGGCAAAATATTTTTTCTTATTTGCTCAGTTATGTACTATATTATATCTGAAAGAGGAGACACTTCCAAAATTTCTTCAGGATTTGTGTGGTGCCTGTGAAACGGCATTTGTTGGCTACCCTTGCATGTCCTGAGGGAATCAGGACTCGAACAATGTTTTCTGTAAGCTGCCTAGCTGCACAGCACCCTTATGTGACTGCGCTGCCAGCAAAAAAAATAATGTAAAGGGATATACACTTAAAAGAAATTAGTCATGCAGTCACTATAAAGATAATGGAGAATGTTAGTCTTTACACCAATAACTTGCATTTATATGGCACTGTTTTAAAGTAGTGAATGTCCTAATGTTTCTGCAAAGCACCCTTAACAAAGAAATTTGACACCAAACCATATTGATGGGTTATTACATCAAGTTAAAGAAGATGTGCAGCTGTACTGTATTTAATTTAAGATGAGATGCCCAAGCCCCATAACGTTTAATTGATGTTGGAGTATGGCAGACAATTAAAGTAACAAATAAGTAGAAGTTCAGGGTCAAGCTTTTAGACTGAACAGAGGTGCTCAGCGAATGAGTCGCTAAATCTGCACTTGGTTTTCGTAATGTTAAACAGATGGCGGAAAATGCAATACAGGTATTTCTGTTATAATATGTTTTGTCTACGCGATTGAATAATGGACGGTGTTTGGATAATGCAAACTTTCTGCTGTACAGTATAACGATTTTATTTTTCTGTTGCGATTTCCTTTTAGAGTGAGGTCGCACAAAAATGCAACTATTGGTTATAGGAGAAACTACCTGTATACTAAATGTGGAAGTCACTGTTTTGACCTGGGAGGAGCGTTTGGGACCCTGAGCTGTGGGAAAGGATGCAGTAAATCAGCACATGTAACATCTTCTGCAATTGAAATGGAAAGATCTGTGGGAAGGAAGCAGGTGATAGCAGTTTAAGGGAACAGCACCTGATGATGATACGAGTGTGGACAGGAAGATGTGTTTGCTAGCATTGCTCTGGAGGTGGCAAAAAATTACATTTGACGGGTAGAAGGTGGTGAATGATGGGATGGATAGTCAAGATACGAGGAATCCTATTCTTATTCCATGGTGAAGAAGGTATAAGGACAGAAGTTTGAGATGAGATTGATCCATTTGAGGGTCTAGTCTGTTGTAGTTGTAGTTGTAGTTGTTAATCCTTGATGGTGGGAACAAAAGATACATAGGAAGCACAGATGCAAAAGTTATTGTAAATATAGATATGGCAATGAAACTTGGAAAAGCAAGAAGCATGTTGGGAAGAACCTTCAAAATAGCTTTGCAGGTCTTAGGCTATTTGCTCTATGTCCAATCAACCACTATACCTTAAATGGAGGCAGAGAGGATGAAGAAGGCATAGATCTGCAATGCACTGTATGAAAGCAAGAAAGAACTAGAAATCGGAAGCAAAGTTGATTTAAGTTTTCTAGTTTGATGCAAGAGTAGTCAGTACCTTTTGATATAGTGATCCATTTACCATAAAAAAGAGTAGAGGGTGAGAACAGTAGAGCTGAAACAAAGCATGTTCCATGTATCTGACAAAAAGGCTGGCTCATCTAGGATGCATATAAGTTCCTGGGACAATACCCCTTGTTTTGGAGTCATGCAAATGCTTGGTGTCAACAGAAATGATGTTTAAAACCAGGTTGAGCCAGGCAGAAAAAGAGTGATGGTGGTTGTGGACTCATTGCGTCCCAATGTGAGAATGATAAAGCCATACTGGTGACTGATGGAAGTGCAAACAAACTGGATGTCTGTAGTGCAGAGGAGAGTTTTAGGAAGCGGAAACCACAAACTTAAGTTTAAGTGACGTAGATTAGAAAATATTGCAGAGGAGAGAAAATCTAGCCCAGAACAGAAGAAGCATGTTATAGGGGTCTCACTTCTAGGTTTTTTCTTTACTTTCCTCAATTTTTCTTTCTTCCCCTTTTTTATCTTTCTCTTTTTAATGTTGGTGGGAAGAAGAGCCACAAGTTGCTGCGCTCAGTACTTGAAATTTCTGGGAAAATGCAGCCCCATATTCCACCACTTGTGCTTCTTTCCATCTTCCCAATATCTTATTTCCTTCTAATGCCATTTATTCACATCCGTTGCTATCCCTATCTGTTCCCTTTTTGAACTATTCATATGATCTTTGTCCTCAATTTCCCGTGTTCCATTGTACAGCTTGCCCTGCCTTCTCTTGTGTTTGCACTCTCTGCATGTGCGTGAGAGTTCACGTGACTCTCTCTTTCTCCCCCCGCCGCCTCTTTCTTCCCTTCACACATACTGTGTATTCTGAACACCGCAAATGTTTCCCTTAACCTTAATCTGTTTCTGTCCTTTCTTCCACTTTCCATATTCATTGCTCTTTCAGCCTCCTGTTTGCTCCATTTGTTTATTTTCAAAATTCAATTAGTTGTGATTTTTAACAAATAAATATCAAATTGGCTCTTGCTGTCACATAGCTCCTTTTAACAATTTGGTATGTTTTACTCAAAAATAACTTTTTGAAATTAACACTAACTATTTGAGCCACACAACTGAACGTATAACTGTTAAAAGCTAAAGAAAATAAATTTGTTTCATCCACCTTATTGCTACTATTTGTATCCTGAGTAGTAATATACACTGCATTGCTCAGATGTCATGAACCAAATATACCTACAGCATCCAAGATCTGGCTTGGATATCAAATGTAAATGATTTTTGTTTTAGATCTGCTGAGTTCATCCAAGTTAAAACATCATTAAAGGCATCAAAGTAACCCAAGTCAACTGACGGATGACTTTGTTTAAATCTGTCTTATTTGGATATTGGAGATACTTGCAAATGCTGAGGAAAAAGTGATAGAAGAAAAAAGTGAGTGATATGCAGGGTAAATGTCACCTTGTTGGCAGATGATGAAATTGCAGGGTGACCGGTTTCATTTATATACACGTACATCTAGATAAATTTTATACGCAGGCTAAGAAATTTTTAATGATGAAAAGTGATGGATGCAAAATCGGATATTTTAGTTTGAAATTGAGTTGACATTGAGGTTTTGTTTATCATACAAAATATACGTGACTTCTGTAAGTGGAGCTGACATTTGGAAATTACATATAGTGGAAATTAAATCTGTCAGTATAAATATATTGGGTAGCTTTAAAGTGATCTAATGTTGAATGTATAACTTAGGGCATTTAAATGTTCAATCCTGATGTTGTAAAAGTGTTGTAAGTACTATAGCGCTTGTGAGAATGAAGAATTTCGGTTTGATGTGGTTTAGCTTTTTTGAGGTTCTGTCCAGATGCAATGTATTCTATTAGGTTTTCTGTGAAAACTAGAAAACAGAATTTTCAAGAGATGTATTCATATACGAAAATCCTCATTGTTTGGTTACTGTCATATGGGCTTTTAGAATATTTTGAGCTAAGTTGTAAATTGGAAGTTATGCACTTTTTATTTTTAAAACCCTCAAGTGGTCCAATTTTGTTTTTGCTCTAAATGCTAGGCTTTTTGAAATAAGGTACTTGAGCTGAGAGTTTTGAATTTAAATTTGACATTGCTGATTATATTTTTGAACTATTGCTTTCTGTTAATTGTGCAGGTGTTTTTTTTAAACACCCCAAAGAGATTCTATTTCCAGTGTGCAAGTGTTTGTAATTGGGGATCATTTAGTGTCTCCATTCAGACATTTCCTTTCTTGTAATATGTAATTATGTTCAGTCTTTTGTGCTGGTTTGCAGTCACTCGTGGCAACATGCTATGGAACAAGCATACCTGTCAATTAGAGTAAATGAATTTAGAAATTTCGTTTTGATGCACAGAAGAGACTGTAAATACTTGAGTTCGTATGAAAAATATGGTTTGATTCAGTAATCCCAACCTTCATTCGGGACAAGGATTGCTTTTTGAAAAGCAAATACAGGATGTTGTACAGCATATTTTCTGAGCCAACCCAGTTCTTCAAGTCTTGTCACTGTTATAAACCATCAAGTGAAGGAAATATTGGGAGCCAGGTTAATTTGAAGGTTGGACTTTCACTACAGCATTTTGTCTCTTTATTTGAAAAGAAGCTGGAGTCTTTAACGTTGCGGTTGATTGACAGTTGGTGTCTCTGTTTGATTGGCGAGGTTTTGATTTGAATTTTACCCCGTTGATTCAAAACCCCTTGACTTCAGGGCTAATGCTGAGCTCTGTAGTGTGTGTAGACTGGTGTTTGATATGACTACTGGCAAAGGTAAGATCAGACTGAAATTTACAAGTTTAAAATCAAATGCACAATTTGTCTGTAGTAATTGATTTGCTTAGGTTTTTAGTATTTGAAAGAATCAACATACATGTCAGCAAAGAGATGCTGACTTCAGTCATTAAATTCTTCAATTTTCAACAATATATATCTGATTTTAAAAAAACACATGACGTGGTACTTGGCCTTTACAGCTAGCAGAAGAAATTATTTATCCTTTTTTGTTGACTGAATTCATGAGTCTGCATAAGAAATGTACATCATTCTGTTGGGAGCTGGTTTTAAAAACATGTTAACCCGACAGATCATGACTAATACATAACTGCTTCAAAATGCAAATA